TTTTGTCTAAAAATTTTTTTTTAATACTTGAAAAAATATTATTAAAAAAGTTACTATAAAAATCGGGAGAATACATAATAAAAGATATTTAAAAAATTAAATCATTTAAATAATATTAGAATTATATTTATATAAAATTAATATAAAAATTATATTAGGAATAAAAATGATATCAAAAAATGATATTGATGAGTTTTTACGGAATACTGGTAATAAAAATAAAAATAAAATAAAATAATAAAATAAGTTAAATATTGAAATGATTAAATAATTAAACATTTTCATAATTAGCACAGAAGATACAACTGAAGAAACAGCCCTTTATTATTTAGAAGTAAAAAATTATTTTAAATTAAAAAAAACTATTAATAAAAGTGAACACATTTTTTAGTGTTAATCCTATATTTCACGAAAATTCTATTATAATTAATTTTTATATAATTTCATGCTGATTTTGTATTTTATATTTATTTTCAGATGTGTAATGGTAATTGCAAAGATGCATTAAACTTATATTACGAGATAAATGGTGGAAATAATTCTGAAAATGATAGAAGGAATGCAGAAGAACAACAATTAAAAGAATATAACCATCATGACACAAATGAATGTAATGAGAATATACGTTCACCTGATAAACATTTTAGTCAAAAATTAATTCATGATATGGATGAATCTAATTTTTTGCATTTTAGAGAAATAAACAAAAAAGAAAAAAAGACAAAAATAGATTTAGGTGGTACTTTTGAAAAATTGTTCTCTCCACCTGAATCTTTAATATGTTCTTTATCATTTGAAGAAGTAAGGAAAAAATCAAAAGAAGAAAATAAATTTATTTTAGTTAATATACAAAATTCAGAATTTGATTCTATGCGATTAAATAGAGATATATGGAATAATGATATTATTCAACAAATATTAAAAGACTTTTTTATTTTTTGGTTAAGATATGAATATGAACAAGAAGCAATGATTTTTATGAACACATATAAGGTAATTAAAAAAAAAAAAAAAAAAAAAAAAAAAATATGTAAATTTGTAGATCCTTAAATATTATTATTTTTATTTTTTTATTTTATTTTATTTTTTTTTTTTCTACTAAATATTTTTAGGTTAACAAATTACCATATATATGTGTATTATGTAAAAGAACTGGAAGATTATTAAAAGTATGGAATACCAAGCATTTTGAAGATCCTGTTTGTGCTCAATCACAGTTATATGAATTTATTGAAATGATTGAATTGAAAAATAATGTAAATAATATAAATAATAACAAAAATAACAATTCTGTAAACAACACACTAAATGATTTAGAAAAAAACAAAATTAATTATAATGTTGACGATAATAAATTATATAATACAACAAAAGAAATAAAATATATAGAGGAAATTCAAAAAGATATTGATAAGAATATAAATCCTTCTAATCCTTTAAACTTATCAGAAAATAAGGAAAGAACAAGTAATAACGAGAATATAAAGGATTACAATAAAATCAATAATGAATTATCAGAGTTACATAAATTAAGATTACAAAGATTACAAAAAAAATAATTTTTAAAGATAAAAAAATTTTTTTTTTTTCCTTTTATATTAACATATATGTATATATTATAAATATATTATATATGAACGTTCCAACTGATATATATATATATATTATGCAAAAACAAAAAAATTACAAGAATTAATAATAATAATTCTTCAAAAAAAAAAAAAAAAAAATTATAAAATAATAAGAATTGAACATAGTTACTCATAAAAAAAAAAAATCTTGTCTTTATGCATTACATATATAGCCTTTTTTAAGTAAAAATTTTTTTTTTTTTTTTTTTTTTTTTTTTTTATATATAAAGTTACAATTAAAAAACAATTCTAATTTTTTTATTGTATCATTTATTTATTTGTGGGAAACTATTGATGTTTTCTTTTTTTTTTTTTTTTTTTAAT